ACCAGTTTCCCATAAAATATTTGGTAAATTAAAATCTCCTAAAAGGAGTGTTTCAAAATCATTCCTTTCACTACAGATGCTCTTGATACAAGATATTAACGCATTATTCTGTTCTAAATTCAATGAAGTGGATCTGTAAATACAGCAAATACTAATCAGTCCACCTGATGTGTTGATATTAACAGCTAAAGAATCCGGTGCCTTTAAAAAAGAGTTCACTAGTGAAGCATTACAACAGTTTTTAACATAAATTATAGAGCCTCCTCCACCACTTATACTGCCAGTGGAATTGTCAATTCTAAAATCTCTATCTTTTCTAAACATACTAAATCCTTCAATATAAATTTCGGCATCTAATATATCACTACTAAAATGAGTTTCTGTTACACAAATTACCTCAATAGATTTATACATTGATAAAATACATTTTAGTTCATCAATTTTATTAAATAGGCCGTTAGCATTGGTATAAAAAATATTTAACGGCTGGGCACTGCGGCCTCCGCTTTGTCCTCTGTCTTCTCTGGCTCTCTTTTCTTTGCTTCCTCCTTCATCTTCTCTGTCTCTCTTTTCTTCGCTTCCTCCTGCCTCTTCTTCCTCTCCTTTCTGGCTAAAAAACGAATATCTCTGTCTGCCTTGCAGAGGTCCAAGTTGATCCAATAAGTTGACTCTTTCCAGCCCTTACCATGGTCAGCGTAGAAATTTACTGACTCTTCATCTCGTGTCTGGATGATGAGCGGGCGACGGTGATCTGGCTTGTCAGCATCAAGCTTGCCAGAGCGATGGCAACTTATCATGTCGTCCTTCTTAATCTTTAGGGTCTCCCTGCAGAACTTGGAGTCGTCCTCCTGGCGTTGCTTAGAGGTAGTCTTTTTGCTCTCTGGAACCTTGAGCACACACAGATTGAGTTTTCGTTTGTTTCGCTCAAATGTATCAGTGTGCATCTTCATTTGCACTTCCGAAATAACAGTTTCAGAAGCTTGTTCACGACTCATGTCATCGAGAACCTTCTTCTGGGTTTGTGCTGTTACCTCAGAATAGAGACGAACAGCTTTATCAACTGTTTTCTCTGCGCTTCCTTTAATAGCTTCCTTAATCGAGTTAGTCAGGGCTGGGGTCAAATGTTGGAGTTCCTCTTTAATAATAGCCCTGACAGCCCCGTTTTCCTTAGTGTCAGCTGAGGTATGAGGCGCCACAAAACAGTATGGGCACTTCCAGTTTGTTAGATTCAGTAACATTTCGTTTTTAAGGCCAGATAAACCAACACAACTCAGGTGCCAAAATAATTGGCAAGCTTCACATTCAACTGATAGTTCTTCTGACATGTAAACATCACATTGGCAGTATTTTTCCTCTGGCACTGGGACATTATCAGAAGATGAATCCTTAGGGGGACTCGTCTTGACTCCACGTTTTTTTCGTATCGACACCCTCTCGGGTACATTGTTACTTGCCATCCCTCAAATTATTTGTTATATAGTAGTGTTGAAAGTATTAAAACTGGTGTAGTGGTGTAGTGGTGTAGTTGCGTAGTAGTGTAGTAGTGTAGTAGTGTAGTTGTGTAGTTGTGTAGTTGTGTAGTAGTGTAGTGGTTTAGTGGTGTAGTGGTGTAGTGGTGTAGTTGTGTAGTTGTGTAGTTGTGTAGTAATTTAGTTGTGTAGTAGTGTAGTAGTGTAGTAGTGTAGTAGTGTAGTTGTGTAGTAGTGTAGTGGTGTAGTAGTGTAGTAGTGTAGTAGTGTAGTAGTGTAGTAGCGTAGTAGCGTAGTAGTGTATTAGTGTAGTAGTGCAGTAGTGTCTAGATTTGCTGCTTTAACCACATCTCATTTCCTACTCACTATTTGTTGCCGCCCAATTTCCATATTAAACTTTTAACATCACTACTGCTTCTTGCATCTCTGTTAGGGCGTTACTATGTATTATTTCTTTATTACTTTATGTGTCAACGTGTATTATTTCAAATAAAATGATAAAATTTTTGTTTTCAAACCCCTCCTCTTTCTGACCACTTTGCAAATTTCCAATTAACTTTTGTAGACTTCTTCCATAATTTCACCCCGATGAGTTCACATGAAAAGCAAAGGCCCATGATAACACCAATCGCTCTATTGATAATCTGTCCAGTCACTCACTTGTGGCCCAAGCTGCAAACATTAAGATCAAAACAATTTTACCAAGAGAAAGTTTTGCTAGAAATAAGTATAAATGACATCAAATTCTTTTTAATCTAAGCTTCCTCAAATACTCGTTTGTTAGCTTTTATACCCACAGAGATGAATCGACTATTTGTTTAGTATAGATCTGGAATTAGGAACTCATCTTGTTTTAAGTAGATTTGGGGAAGACAATGTGCATCAAACAGCGATGGTAATCTTTAAACTAGCAAAGCACATCAAGTACCATGCCCACCAATTGAAATCGACATGACTTTTCCCACCTGATTAATTATTTTGATTACAAGTTTAACAACATTTCTATTGAAAAAATTTACAGGCGATAATTTCACCTGATTTAGTTTAATCAACACAACGACCTAACACGTTGTGAAATGACAAATATTCACAACTGGCTGACAAATTTCATAACCTTTGCATGGGTCACTGTAACATTCAAGTGGCTCCTAATTTAGCTAAAAGTAATGAACATACTCAACACATTCGAGATCATAAAGCTAACAGACTTTCCCCTAAATGAGATGAATCTTACATGAAACTATTGACACAGACCCATAAATATTCTTCCCCTTCAACGATTATCGATGCGACAGGCCAAACAGTTTCTAGGGGTGATGTGGCATAAGATAAACAAAAATCTAGCTTACACAGAATTATTTATGGATAGATAAGCTTGATAACATTGAAGCATTATGGGTGAAGCTAAGAATAGCAAGATCATGTTTGGCTGCTTCTATCGCTCTGGAAGATTATTGCAGTGTTGATAACTTTATGAGTACATTCATTTGCAATGAAAAAATTGAACGGAAAAAGGTTATCTGGATTGGGGATATAAACAGTGACCAGAATAATATCACAGCCACCCAGTACAAAAAAATAGATATGAACTTGAGAAGTTACAATCTAGTTCAAACCATTCAAGGGATAACTAGAGTTGCTAAACGTGGAGACAATTTACCCGACTACTATTGATGTAATATACACTAACTGTTATGCAGATTTTGTCATTCTTCTGTTCTTGATGAACGTATTGGGGATCATCAAGCTATTTATGTGTGAGATAGATTGTAAAGTACCTAGAGCTCCTAAATTTGAAAAGGTTGAAATTAGAAACAAAGTAAACGTAATGTTAAACAATTCTTAGACTATCTAGATACCTGTTCTGAATTACAGTCCACTATTGGTAAGTACAGATGTTGAAGCTATCACTGCTGGCCTTGTCATCAATTGAACATGGGCAGGCATATGCAACCAGCTTCCCTTGCAAGACCATAGAAAGGCATGAAAGTCATACATAAACCTTCTACTGAACTTTTAAATGCCATTAATCATAACACATATTCTTCTAAAGAAATTCCCGTAAAAAGAAGGATAAGAGGGACAATGGAAATTGCAATAAAAGTGGTAATATGTAGCAAATGTAAAATTGTAATCGAGGCCTGGGATGCTACAGATGCAGAGAAATATTAGAAATAAATTAGCTAAAACCTGCAAAAAGGCTAAGTAAATCGATGATCTACAAGTTAAAAGTGCCAAGAATATCTTAAAGGGGTTTGGAAAACTATCAAACGGCATCAAAATATGACCCCTGGTACAACTAAATTAGTCAAACTTCAATGAGAATGAGCCTGAGCTATTTAACTTTCCTTTGCAATTGTGGATCAAGATTACCAAAAATCAGGCCCCCAAAATTGAAAGAGTTAGTTTTACTGAATTTTTACCTCCTAGAATTCTAACTCTCATTGATAGAATTCCAAGAAATAATGAAACGATATCCTAAGTATGTCGAAACACTCAAGAATGACAAGGCCTCATATGACGATGTGCCCTATTTTACTTAAGCAAGCTGTCCACACTAGTTTAAGCCACTGTCCATATTGCAATTTGAGCCTTAATACAGGTGTTGTACCAACCCATTGTAAAAAAGCTAGATAACTCCCATCCATAAGGCAGGAATGAAAAGATGAACCTAAGAATTACAGGCCAATATCCGATACTCCACTTGAGGAAAACTTATAGAATACTTTGTCGGCAAGCAACTCACCGAATTACATGGAAGAGAACAAACTTTTCATCCGGGATCAATAAGGCTTTCGGAAAAATCCCTCCACAACTTTAATTGATGTACGTCTGATGGACGAAATAATATATGAGTAAATCTAAGTCTTAATAAACCAGGAATCATCTTTCTTATCTTAAGTAGGCCTTTGACACAGTGAATCAATGAAATATTTGCATCAAAATTGCATATTATGGAATGGTGCAAAAGCATTAACTTTTTAGAACTTCTAATCTTGTAGATATCAATGCACACGGATAAATGGCAAAATAACTCATTTTAGAAGTTCTGAGTGGTGTACCAACAAGGAAGCATCATTTGGGCCTATATTATTTAGTATCTTCATAAAAGACATCATTTATGCCTGTAACCTTAATCTAAGCCCCTTTCTATTGCAGATGAATTGTGCACGATTCTTTGATCATCCTGCAGAAGCAATTTATAAACATGGTAAATAAATTATGACAACCATAAATGCTCAGTGTAAATAAATTTATCACATCAATGAAACGAAGACTGAATTCCTATTGTTTTGATCTGTTGATCACATGATGAATTAACCAGTGAGATGTAATGAGGTAACTTTCACAATCAAGGAGTGCAAAGAGACAAATTATCTTGCTTCATTCTAGATATAAATTAACGTCAAAAGCCATGAGATTTTATATATTAAGACGTCCATGAAGAAATTGGTGCCATGTATAGAAGTAAAAGCACTGCTACCCATTAAATATAGGAAAATGTTTGCACAATGCACTCATGTTTGCAGTTTAGGCATCGCCGAAGATATCTTTAGCTGTTGGAAGAGCCTTGAAGGCCTCCTTTTTCTCCTCCAAACTGAGCAGTCCAACTTTGACCCTGAACTTGTCATTATTCATCAATGGTCTCACAATAGCCATGCCATATATATTTGATGCAAACCAATACAAGAGCAGAGCTGAAGGAAACATTGATTGAATACCCCCCATGACAACCATGGTAAACATCAAAGCTTTTTTTGAGGAAAGCAATTGTGACAAAGGATTTTCTGATCCTGCAGTATCTATTCCATATTTAAAAACATAAGCAACAGCAGCAGCATTCATTGCTGGAAACAGGAAATATGGGTCACTTTGACACAAACTAGAAAGCCACAAAAAATTTGTGTCGTGCAAAGGTTGATATGAAATTTCAGCAAGATTTCTAATAGAAAAAAAATTCAAAGACATGGTCATGAATGTTGGAACCAGAAACCAATTAGCTGATTTAGTCCAGTTGAAATTGTTAACCTTTTTATAATACTTGATTTCTCCCTGTTTGGTTAAGGACGCAACATGGTCACCTTTCCTAAAGAAGCCTGTCATTTCCGTTTTCAGCTTTGCCAGTTCAGCTACATGTTTGATATTTTTTGTCAATTTCTTTTCATGGAGAATGTTGATTGGAAACAAACAAGATCTGACAGCAAATCCAGTCCCCAACAAAACAGCCCACCACGGTAAACCTGAGCTAACCTGAACAGTATCCAGAAGGACTTGATAGTGCGCTGTCATATTGTACCATGCATGGTCAGGTAAGACTGTGACAACAGCTTTAACTGAATCTAAAGCAGCTGGTAGTGTTTCTGATGGAATGTTTAGAGTGCTCATCTTCTGACTTAGTACCAGCTTTAATTGTTTGGGATTTTGGAATTTGCGTAGGCCCATTGATATCATCCTTGAAGATATCATATTGATTGTTGTATAAACAGAAATAGCCCTCTTCTGTAGTAGTTGAAGAGGCTTATATTATACAGAGGTGTGACATCATCTCCTGAAATTATTTCAATTAAAAAATGGAGGGACCATTGTTCCCAGTAGATGCGAAAATTATTTGCAATAGCCACATTGCAAATACACACTAATCATGAACCGCTTTTAAATTAGCATATTATATTGATTAGGGTAGTCTCGGTTTTGTTGTAGCAATTTACAGATCACCTCCCAACCATAACTTTCTTCCCAAACAGAAAATAATTTCTAATATTAATCCTTATTAGATACAATTTTAGGATCAGTAAAACAAAGTTATCAGTAAAACAAAGTTATCAATTTTATACCAATTTTGTACATTAACTTTTGAAATCTTTACAAAGAAAAGCAATTTATGACAGTTTTTTCTACCAGTCATACTGCAGGTGAATTTATAGTTGACAGGGCAAAGGGGCACTCTTATCATTCACAACGGCAACTATAATTTTCTGGGATATAAAAGGAAGTGTCTGGCTCTGAGGATGGTGGATCAAGAGTTGTTTCAAGAGACAGTAATATAATGGTATGACTGGTTGCTTTTAGGCAAGAGTTGTTGTTTATTAATTCAAGGAAATTAAAAATGTGTTTTCAGGGTGTTAATTATAATGTAGAAAATGATATGGGGAATAATGAATCATTAGTTTTTGATGAAAAGTCAATCATTTTAATCATAATTATAAACAGATTGAGTAACTAAATCAAAGCATCTATTGACTGTGAGTGCATTCGTTTAATTCAATTTAATTCAATTTTCTTGCAGTAAAACTTATTTTTGCACATGAACCAATTTATAAATATCACTCCTTTTTTGTTTCGATGTAGGTATTCCCTCTCGAATATCCTGTATCTCGCTCATACTCATATCACAATACACAATCTGCTCATCATGTAAAGCACTGTCTACTACCACACCAGTAGGCGCACAGATCAAAGAATGTCCCCAACTTGTGTAAGTTGCTGTGTTGTCAGTTGCAGGAGCAATACTAGAGCAGTAAACTTGGTTGTCAACAGCCCTAGCTCGGTTCAGAAGCTCGAAGTAAACAGGTCCAGTGGTCATGTTGAATGCCCCTGGATAAATCATGATATGAGCCCCTTGATCCCTCATGATGTGTGCCTGTTCAGGGAACCGTATATCATAACAGATGCCCAGTCCCACTGTAAACTCATTAACATTGAATGTGGTGATGCTACTACCTGGACATAGAGTATCTGATTCTTTGAACTTAATTTTCCCGGGTATGTCTATGTCAAACAAGTGAACTTTACGGTGCTTTGCTATTAATTCTCCATTGGGGCTAAAAACTAAACTCGTATTATATAAGTTTCCATCACATTCTTCTGGTATAGTACCACCAATTAAATGTATTTTATGCTCAAGTGCAAGCATTTTCAAATGGTTGTAAGACTGTCCATCAGGTATCTTTTCAGCATATTCAGCAAAGTACTGGTTTCCATACGGACAATTGAAGCATTCTGGTAGTGAAACAAGCTTAGCTCCAGCTTTCACAGCCTTTGAAACAAGTTCAGATGCTTTGTTTAAGTTGGAAAGTTTATCAGCACCAACTAACATTTGTATTCCAGCAAATCGTATCATAGTTCCTTCCTGAACTGAAGTGGCACATTTTAGAATAGGTATAGAAACTAATAAATCACTGATCCAGATGATCATTTATAATAAATACATCGAAGACTAAATTTTATAAATCGGTTGGGAAAATGTAATGTGCATGGAAACACTTACTAGGAAAAACAAAATTTTTATTTGTCACAAAAAAATAATTAATACATATTATGATATATCCATAAACGAATTCAAATTATAAACACCAACATTTTTATTAATGGCAAAACTGTAGAAGAAGCTTATGAGAAAGGCAACAAATTGCTAAGCTGTATAAGAAAGTATATGATCCTTAACAAACTACACATCAACATGTCAAAGTGCTGTTATATGCATTTTAAACCAAAGGCTAGTAAACCAGTAGAATTTCCAGATTCGCTTCAACTCCATATTGATGGCTTTCCAATTAAAAAAACCAAAGCAACAAAGTTTCTTGGAGTTGTTATTGATGAACAGCTTTCCTGGGGGCCTCATATAACAGCACTTAAACGAAAGTTAAACTATGCCTCTGCCACCTTAAATAGAATTAGGGACTCTGTACCGAAGGAACTCCATAAAGACCTATACCACACACTATTTGAATCCCACCTTACATATTGTATCTTAGTTTGAGGTGATGCAGCACTCTTTAGGACAGCAAGTATCTGGTTATCTCAGAAGCACTGCGTACGGGTCCTCTTTGGTGATAAAGAGGCATACCTAAATAAGTTCCTAACATGTGCAAGAACAAGAGAGTTTGACAACCAGGCACTTGACCATACATTCTTCCAACTAGAGCACTGTTAACCACTTTTCAAGCAACAAAACATCCTGGCTTTCAAAAATTTATATACATATCACACTTTTATGGAAGTTTTTAAAATACTGAAATTAAGGTGCCCAGCATCACTGCAACAGCATTATCAGCCATCTTCTAGAAAGGAAACCACTCTCATTTCACAACTCCCATCTCATGACTTCATATCAAGATCCACAAAAATTTGGCTCAGCACAATTGCACCTAAACTTAAAATGGCACTTCTAAAGCTGCAACATGCTTATAATGATTCAGCATGGACTTCAAGTGATTATGACATAATGCAGCTGTCATTTGAAAACAATCCCCTTCAACAAATTTAATCCAGTGTTCTCGGCCCACAGGTTCCTCCTATTAAACAAAATTTTTGATTTTGGTAAATGTGTGCTGACTCCACCACCTATGTATTTAACCTAATATTTAGTTATTACAGGTAGACATTGACTTAGGTAGGTATTTTTCTCTTAAGGTAGATATTAAGAATTTGGTAAATTTCTTAATTGTATGACTATTTCCATTATTGAGACGTTTTAAATATTTGATTTAAGAGGTTTTTTTATACAACTGGTTCACAGTGTGAACAGATTCCAGATTTATATATTTTTTAAGTGATATTTAATAAATGATTAAAAGAACCAATTTTAAAGTTGCCATAGTAAAGCCTTTAGGTTCAAAAATATACCCATTATGCTCAGTTAAAAACAACTCTAAATCAGTAGGCTGTCACTCTATTAATGCACCACACCGCTTCCTCCACTGCACTAAAAGTTATACAATAAATTCTACAATCCTAATTTTGTATCGTGATGGAGACCGGTGTCCATACAAAAAATTTACTAGGTTGCCGTTTGGTGTGAGCAATAGCGAACAGCACGCACACCCCTTTGCCCCGTCAACCTATATCTAATCTATTTAAAGAGTGACAACCATACTACACATTGAATTAGGATTCCTTTTGAAATCCTAAGAACAACAGTGATTTCTCTCCGTGGAGACAGAGGTGCGAGAAAAAACATTGTTAATATAAACAGTCTAGATCTTAACTTGGAGCCACAAGGCCAAGGGTAATTTTTGAGTGTTTAGTGAATTTTTTATATTCTTAAAGGTTTGTTTTTATATAGGGTCATTGCTATATTATGTGTATATTGTTTGAATAATTTTATTATATTAGGATTCCTTTAAATATCAAATTGATTTATTGTAAACTTGTTTACTCTGTAATAAATGGCATAAAATTGAATTTTTGTTTAACTGAATTTTTGTTTAACTGAATGAAACAAGGAATTTCAATGAAACAAGAAATTTTATTTTAGCACATTTTACAAAATAAAAAGATGTAAAACAATTCATAAAATATAATGCCCATTTCATTTCGCCAAATATTTATTTGGGCTGAGTGGATTACGATTTCTGTCGCATTAAAAAATTGCGGATGCTCATTAGAAATTAATGCGAGCGTGACCAGCTAAGCATTTACGCGCACGTAACCGTTTATAATCAATTCAATGGTGAACCATTTTTAGCCAATGTTTTCTAAAGACTGTAAGAGTTTACACAGTACCAAATTTGTCTTATTTTTTTTGGAATGATCATTGAGTTTCACCTAGGTGCCATATTTGATGGTACGTGGTTTTTGGAGCAAAAGTAGGTGTAAAATTCGCGTTAAAGTAAAGTAAAGTGTAAAGTAAAATTTATGACATCACATCATCACACATGTCTACAAACTATCATCGCACTGTGTGAAAAAATATATAATAAATATTTCCCCACCAACATTAATTAATTATCAAATACAATATTTAAAAACAATTTCATCAAAAACATTATCCTATTTATCCGTTATTTAACGAAATTCGTTGATTTTTGTTGTATTATTTTGTTATATCTTCGGTTCCTTGAATAAGATCATTTTGAAAATTTGTGAGGACCTTAACTACCGAACCTAAATTAGTTGGGAGGGATTGACCTTGATTAAAAAGTCTAAAATGACAAAATAGGTATAAATTCGTTGTCATACGTTGTATGACCCGCTGCGCACCAGTGCGCGGCTCCCCCTGTATCGTAGAAACTCATTGATTATCACGATGTCAATCATTCGCGTCTCGCCGATCTGCATACGTGGTTGCGAGAATATGCGCGGCGCGGCCCAGTATTGTCATACGTTGTATGACCCGCAGCGCACGAAGTGCGCGGCTCCCCCTGTATCGTCAGGACGATAAAGTGAAACGACCGTGAGTGTCACAACGTGATACAAGCCCATTAGTGCATAGCGCTACAAAGAAACTTACTTGCTCTATCCAGAGCCCTTGCGCTTGCAGTAGCGCGCGCCCGCCTCACGGGTGAAGCAAGCGCGCCCGAAGTGGCGTGAAAGCACATGGTTAGGTGAAGAAACTCACCATAGTGAAACGACCGTGGGGGTCTCGCGACGTGATAAAATAAATTCGTTGATAGATAACTCAAATTCTTGCCATCGAAATTGCTCAAACTAGATTAGGTTTAAAAAAACAAAAGTGTTTACGACTTACGTTACGTAAGCTGACCAAATTTCAACAAAAATAATTGATAATGTCTTTTGTGCTTGCATGAGTGGCGCGCGCCCGCCTACTTGTCAAATAAGCGCACCGTACCCGCAGTGGCGCGAAAGCATGTGGTTAGGTAAAGCGCACGGCCTAAGTCTAGTCCTCTTAAATTAAAAAGCTTAAAAGGTAATGCATAATGGGTAAGCGCGCTTAATATAAATTTTGCTCTTATCTATCCAGAGCCCTTTCGCTTGCAGTAGCGCGCGACCGCCGAAACAAGCGCGTCACGCAGTACTCGAAGACTCATGGCCAGATAAAATATAAGTTTACTCATGTATGACTAATTGCACGCATAATACATTATACATTTTAATGATTCATATCCTCCACATGACGTTGGCAAACATTGCAATGTGCGAAGTTAATAGTTATTAAGTATTATATGTTATAGTTGCGCACTTTCATTTGGCCCAAAATAAAACTTCTTTTGAATGACTCAAAATTTAAAATATCCCCCATTTTCTTTTTATTTTCGGAGAAGAATTGCAATTTTTACAAAACAGATATTTCGCAAAGAAAACCGGAAGTCGTTATAATATAAGTTTATTTTTAGTTTTGAAGATAAACCCAAGCCGGTATATATATAGTATATATATATAGTATTTATTTGTTAAACAATCGCGTCACGCTGTACCTACTAGTAAACTTGCATGGTTAGGCGAAACCTGGCGGGTCGCTTAAGCTGTGTCTTTAAAATAAAAAGTATATTGTTAATTGTACCATTTTTATGTACTGATGTTGTAGCGCGATGCACTACTGGGTCGCGCCGCGCATCAAATAATTCTTCTCGCAACCGATCTCGGTAGATCGGCGAGATGCACCACTGTGCCTCACCGAGCTGCGAAGGATTGACATCGTGAATCAAGTACTGATGCAATCTAAATGGTAAAACAATGAGCGGGATGCGCCACAGCTCTCAGCTCTGTACACTGTAAGTACGTGTAAGTGTAACTGTAAGAATATTTGCAAACTTATAAGTAAGTATGTTGATACGACAGTGTTTGTATCATCAGGTTTTAATACATTCAACACTGAACACTATATTATATACTAAATAACAAATAATTTGAGGATATATTTCCATTAGAATCTGTCTTCACTGAGTCTATTCAGAATTAATCAGAAATTTGAATGAAAGAAACATCAGGTTAGAATTCAACTAAATATTAAATATCCAGGAAATGATACCTCATCGTAATTAAAAATAATGCAGTCCCTTTGTCATGTGTATAACGGTAAGGCAGTGATTTTAGCCTGGAGACTTTGCCGGTCTCAAAGTCTCGGGTTTTGCTTGCTTTATCGCGCTAACATTTCACATTGTTGTTGTTGTTTTTGTTAATCATGAGAGAAATCGTTCATATACAAGCGGGCCAGTGTGGAAACCAAATTGGGGCTAAAGTAAGAGGCAACTGCTCACATAATTACTTTTTACGATATTGTAGTTACATTAGTAGATTAGTAGTTAAAAACTTATAAGATTGATCTTGGATTGCTTAAATTTGTAAATAATTCACGGATATGCGCCTCTTGTAAAATTAGGTATCATCATTTTGTTATTAGCCTGATTTCTGTTCAGTTCTGGGAGGTGATATCGGACGAGCATGGAATTGACCCCACAGGAGCGTATCATGGCGAGAGCGATCTCCAACTCGAGCGGATTGACGTGTACTTTAACAACGCAGCAGGTCAGTGGTTAAGCCTCTTCTTATGACTATATTAAAACTGAAATATTGACGTTTACCACCCCCACTCCTAATATCTGCCCTTCCCCCTCACCAAGGCACTTCTAATTTCTGCTAATTTCTGCTAAGGAGGAGAGTATGTGCCGCGCTTAGTAACACCTAGTAACACCTACTAGCACCTAGTAACACTTAGTAACACCTAGTAGCACCTAGTAACACCTAGTAACACCTAGTAACACTTCTAATATCTGCTCAGGAGGAAAGTATGTGCCGCGCGCAGTAACACATAGTAACACCTAGTAACACCTAGTAACACCTAGTAACACCTAGTAACACTTAGTAACACCTAGTAACACCTAGTAACACCTAGTAACACCTAGTAACACTTGTAATATCTGCTCAGGAGGAAAGTATGTGCCGCGCGCTGTTCTCGTGGATCTGGAGCCCGGAACAATGGACTCCATCAGAATGGGGCCTTACGGGACTGTATTCCGGCCTGATAACTTCGTGTTTGGGCAGGTAACTAAGCAACACTTTACTACACTTAGTGACTTAGAAACATAGTGACAAATGCAACACTTAGGAACATTTTGTTTCATAGAAGAACACTTAGAACTGATTTTAACACTTAGTAACACCTCGTAACACACTTAGTAATGATAGTAATGATAGTAATGATACAATAGTACTAACAATGTCCTGTCCGTAAAGAGTGGAGCGGGGAACAACTGGGCTAAGGGCCATTACACGGAGGGAGCTGAGCTGGTGGACAGTATAATGGACGTTATCAGGAAGGAGAGTGAGGGATGCGACTGTCTCCAGGGTTTCCAACTCACTCACTCTCTGGGAGGTGGTACTGGGTCAGGTGAGTTTTAGAACACCATAGCAACACCATAGCAACACCATAGCAACACCATAACAACACCATAGCAACACCATAGCAACACCATAGCAACACCATAGCAACACCATAGCAACACCATAGCAACACCATAGCAACACCATAGCAACACCATAGCAACACCATAGCAACACCATAACAACACCATAACAACACCATAACAACACCATAACAACACCATAACAACACCATAACAACACCATAACAACACCATAACAACACCATAACAACACCATAGCAACACCATACCAACACCATACCAACACCATACCAACACCATACCAACACCATACCAACACCATACCAACACCATAAGAACACCAAGTTAACTCCTAACAGCACCTTCAACTACCATTTTACACCTTGCGACACCTTTTAACACCTTATATCAGGCATGGGAACACTGTTGATCAGTAAGATAAAGGAGGAGTACCCTGACCGGATCATGTGTTCCTTTAGTGTTGTCCCCTCTCCAAAAGTCTCTGACACTGTCGTGGAACCTTACAATGCCACTCTCTCAGTACATCAGGTACATCTAGTAACACCTATTAACACTTAGTAACACCTATTAACACCTATTAACACATAGTAATGCCTAGTAACACATAGTAAAACCTCATGCAACATAATGATACATATTGTGTTTTAACAATAGGTGTTACAAGGTTTAAAAACCTTGTAACACCTATTGTGTTAAACTTTGTAACACCTATTGTGTTAAACCTTGAAACACCTATTGTGTTAAACCTTGCAACACCCTCATTAACACCGAACACTTCTGATCAGCTGGTTGAAAACACGGATGAGACGTTTTGTATTGATAACGAGGCGTTGTACGACATTTGCTTCAGGTAGTAACACCTAGTAACCCCTAGTAACCTCTAGTAACACCTAGTAATGTCCTGACATTTAAACTTCCCTGTTACAAGTTCAACAATTCAATGTTTTATCAGTTTGAAAACAGATTCACACACCTAACTTGAGCTGCTGCAGGACCCTGAAACTGACGACCCCCACCTACGGAGATCTCAACCATCTCGTCTCCGCCACCATGTCTGGTGTCACCACCTGCCTCAGGTTCCCTGGACAGCTCAACGCTGATCTCAGGAAACTAGCTGTTAATATGGTTCCCTTCCCTCGCCTTCATTTCTTCATCACCGGATTCGCCCCTCTCAGGTAACACTCGGTTTTAACACCTAGTAACACCTAGTAACACTTAGTAACACCTAGTAACACCTAGTAACACCTAGTTACACCCAGTAACACCTAGTTACCTCTAGTAACACCTAGTAACACCTAATAACACCTAGTAACACATAGTAACACCTAGCAACACCTAGTAACACCTAGTAACCTCTAGTAACACCTAGTAACACCTAGTAACACCTAGTAACACCTAGTAACACCTAGTAACACCTAGTAACACCTAGTAACACCTAATAACCTCTAATATTACAGTGCACGAGGAGATATCCCCTACAGGAATCTAAGTGTCCCAATGTTAACCCAGCAAGTGTTTTCCTCTCGCAACATGATGGCAGCTTCTGATCCCACTTTTGGGAGGTACCTGACCTGCGCTACCATCTTCAGGGGGCGAATGAGCATGAAGGAGGTACTCATTAGATAATTAGTTGTTTGTTCTTACATTATGTTTGCTCATTTATTATTCTTTGTTATACAGTCAAACTTCTATAAATACTGTGGCCCTCTATGATGCCGGGCCTCATCGTTCCTTCCAAACTTGTACTTAATTTAAGCTCGTTTTGTGCAAGAAATGCTATTTATAATAGAAATGTTTATTCATAATGGCGTTTGGTCGTGATTTGAGTACACATTCCACCACAATACGATAAAATACGTGCATATTATAAACCATAAGGCCCTAATTGAATATATGAGACGCTTGACAGGTTATTTGAGAGGCTGCAGATACTGGTGATCACCTCTCTAGACTGAGTTTTTTCTATACCATGCACTATTTACCCCAAGAGGGCCCGGTATTAAACAGGCCCCCTGTATAATATCAGTGCCCGTTATTCGATTAATCTATTTGAGTCTCCAGCTACCACCAATCGGTCAACAAATCAAAACTATTTGACTTATGCTAGTTTTGTGCACAAAGTCCATCTCATTTTGGTTCTAATTGTGTCTGCCCTAATTCTGCCTACCCTGCCGATTTTGCGGTAAAGTTGAGGCCGGCTAGACTATAGTCGGTATAAATGATTTTGAGTGGAGAATTAAACGTACCATGATCTGGAGCATTCCCTCGGATGAGTGATTATAATTTAGTGTGACGCGTTACAAGAACAGACGTAACATTACTCTCAACATAGTAATATGACACAACTCACCTCCCCACATATCATTGCTCCTTCATAAAACACATCATTGCTCCTTTATAAAACATATCACAGTTTCTGTGACCCCTTTCGTTATAGAAACATCTCGAGGATGCAGCTATTTTGAGTAATGAATTACAAATTGTGCGGGCGATAACGACTAATGCCGTGACGCGTTACATACACATGTTTTTTAACCTCTAAATAGTGTGACCCCTAAATCAAAGGCACAAATTCCAACACAGATAACTTCTATTTTAATTAATCATCTTACCTTGAAACTTAGTTGGTTTATTTACTGCTAACCACGCCCTCTCTCAGGTAGACGAGCAGATGTTACACCTAGTTACACCTAGTTACACCTAGTTACACCTAGTAACACCTAGTAACACCTAGTAACACTTAGTTGGTTTATTTACTGCTAACCACGCCCTCTCTCAGGTAGATGAACAGATGTTACAAGTAGTAACACCTAGTTACACCTAGTTACACCTAGTAACACCTAGTAACACCTAGTAACACTTAGTTGGTTTATTTACTGCTAACCACGCTCTCTCTCAGGTAGATGAACAGATGTTACAAGTAGTAACACCTAGTTACACCTAGTTACACCTAGTTACACCTAGTTACACCTAGTAACACCTAGCAACACATAGTAACACTTAGTAACACCTAGTAACACTTAGTTGGTTTATTTACTGCTAACCACGCCCTATCTCAGGTAGATGAACAGATGTTACAAGTGCAAGCAAAGAACTCAGCTTACTTTGTGGAGTGGATCCCAAACAACGTGAAGACGGCCGTGTGCGACATCCCTCCCAGGGGTCTGAAGATGTCAGCCACTTTTATCGGGAACAACACCTCAATACAAGAGCTCTTCTCAAGGATAGGAGACCAGTTCGGGGCCATGTTCAGGAGGAAGGCTTTCTTGCATTGGTACACCGGAGAGGGGATGGACGAGATGGAGTTTACTGAGGTTTGTTATTTTAAAGAGTAGTGCTCCTTCTTAAAACACATCAATCACATTCAGACTTATGTTATGATATTGAATGGTTGGGTTTAATTTATCTGTTACTTTAACTGAAGGCTTGTTTAGATTTTCCACGGTATTGGATAGCATTACAAATCTAGAAAAAGAACTGATATCAATAGTCAATACCAAATGTTTTAGATCATGACTAAATTGTCCCGAAAAGTATCATGAAGTATTTGAGAAATAAGTAACGCACATGTTACCATAGTAACGCACATGTTACCATAGTAACGCACATGTTACCATAGTAACGCACTATATCCAGGCGCACAGTAACATGATGGATCTGATCAACGAGTATCAGCAGTATCAGAATGCAGGTGTTTACGAGGAGGGTGAGGATGAGGACGAGTACACAGAGGAGTATCAACAGTGAGATACAACTCTGGGGACGGTAACACGACTTTTGTCCGACAGCGACTCTTGTCCATACTTCCATAAAACATAATTTCGGATTCGGACAAGAGTCGCCAAATCTTCTGGGGCACTCTGAGTGGAGTTAATATGAGACTTTGTGAGAATAACACCTAGTAACACCTAGTAACACTTAGTAACACCCTTGCTTTGTGACAATTATTAGATCTGCAGCATTTGGTGGAATGAACAAGTATTGTTAACAAATTTTGTAATGATTTCTTATGAATGAGATAGTGGATTGTGTTGAGTTATATATTTGAGCAAGCTATTTTAATTAACGCCTAGGACAGTGGCGTAACGTTATAGGATCGGATCTCAGCAAACTTACATTTAAAGCTGATTTTCTGAAACCTCTTTTATACATTTTTCAGATGAAAAATATTCGAATCATTTCTCAATGACGGCTCCATAACATAAAGCTACTGATCTTATTCATAACAAGATCTAACTCGATTGGATACCTGCGCAGTTTAACTTTAATCCGAGTTATAAGCACAAATTGTATTAAGCCTGACTACCTGCAGTTACATGTAACAATATATTGTGCACCACTTAGTGAGTAGTGACACCTTTATATTGGGAACTATAGTTTTCGTGTTTAACTCAAAGCAGACAATGTAGTAACACCTAGTAACAACTAGTAACACCTAGTAACACCTAGCAACACATAGTAACACCTAGCAACACATAGTAACACCTAGTAACACCTAGTAACACCTAGTAACAGACAATTTGAAGCTAGCAAATTGTAAACTTAACATCTTTGATTTGTACAAATTTTCGGTTCCAAAAATAATTCTGTCTATCTGCAAATGCAACGATATGGTTTACAAAGGAGCACTACTTTCCTCATTATCAGGATTAGTGGAGGGCAGAATGTGGCGAGATGAAGTAAATATGAAGGTTATATTATAACCATTAACAGGGCTGTAAAAGGGAGGGTGCCTGAACGTCTGGGATCTGTAAATTGTCTGCTATTAGAAGGGGAGTGTCGCGGATTGTTTGCGGAGGAGGTTCGTGTAAGGGGAAGCCTGGTTGCAAGTATTTTGTAAGATTTATCGGCTCACCATATGATTATCAAAAGAAATGAGATTATGTTTGAGCTGTCGTTTTTCAATGTCTGAGCTAAAATTCAGCTGTTTTCTCACATCATTAGTGACGTAGCATTCTTATCGGCAGTTTAACAGCTCTCTCTCTTAATACAACAGACGCATTTTAATTCAATAATTTAATTCTATCTTTGAGTTCGCTACTTTCGCGTCCCTACTCAGCCTAATGACCCCCTCATTAAACGGATGAAATGCACATATTTCGCAACGCTGGGATAGCCTAACCCGTAACCTTTAAACCCGTGCAATTAGTTCCTCTTTTGTTCATTTAAATTCTAGCGTTAAATAGGCTAGTAACCATGGTAACTCTCCTTATTAGGGCATCACGTGGTGTTGAATAGGCTGATGAGTTAGGGAGACATGGTATGAAGGGAAGAGGAAGAGATAGCAACATTACTAGTCACAATGACAACCGCTGTCTAACTCAAATACTGCATACTGACATTGGGGTCTGAACTTAGTGTCACATATTGTACCATCCAGTCTTGTTTTACCTGACATTGGGGTCTGAACTTAGTGTCACATATTGTACCATCCAGTCTTGTTTTACCTGAGATTGGGGTCTGAACTTAGTGTCACATATTGTACCATCCAGTCTTGTTTTACCTGACATTGGGGTCTGAACTTAGTGTCACATATTGTACCATCCAGTCTTGTTTTACCTGACATTGGGGTCTGAACTTAGTGTCACATATTGTACCATCCAGTCTTGTTTTACCTGACATTGGGGTCTGAACTTAGTGTCACATATTGTACCATCCAGTCTTGTTTTACCTGACATTGGGGTCCGAACTTAGTGTCACATATTGTACCATCCAGTCTTGTTTTACCTGACATTGGGGTCTGAACTTAGTGTCACATATTGTACCATCCAGTCTTGTTTTACCTGACATTGGGGTCTGAACTTAGTGTCACATATTGTACCATCCAGTCTTGTTTACCTGACATTGGGGTCTGAACTTAGTGTCACATATTGTACTATCCAGTCTTGTTTTACCTGACATTGGGGTCTGAACTTAGTGTCACATATTGTACCATCCAGTCTTGTTTTACCTGACATTGGGGTCTGAACTTAGTGTCACATATTGTACCATCCAGTCTTGTTTTACCTGACATTGGGGTCCGAACTTAGTGTCACATATTGTACCATCCAGTCTTGTTTTACCTGACATTGGGGTCTGAACTTAGTGTCACATATTGTACCATCCAGTCTTGTTTTACCTGACATTGGGGTCTGAACTTAGTGTCACATATTGTACCATCCAGTCTTGTTTTACCTGACATTGGGGTCTGAACTTAGTGTCACATATTGTACCATCCAGTCTTGTTTTACCTGACATTGGGGTCCGAACTTAGTGTCACATATTGTACCATCCAGTCTTGTTTTACCTGACATTGGGGTCTGAACTTAGTGTCACATATTGTACCATCCAGTCTTGTTTTACCTGACATTGGGGTCTGAACTTAGTGTCACATATTGTACCATCCAGTCTTGTTTACCTGACATTGGGGTCTGAACTTAGTGTCACATATTGTACTATCCAGTCTTGTTTTACCTGACATTGGGGTCTGAACTTAGTGTCACATATTGTACCATCCAGTCTTGTTTTACCTGACATTGGGGTCTGAACTTAGTGTCACATATTGTACCATCCAGTCTTGTTTTACCTGACATTGGGGTCCGAACTTAGTGTCACATATTGTACCATCCAGTCTTGTTTTACCTGACATTGGGGTCCGAACTTAGTGTCACATATTGTACCATCCAGTCTTGTTTTACCTGACATTGGGGTCCGAACTTAGTGTCACATATTGTACCATCCAGTCTTGTTTTACCTGACATTGGGGTCTGAACTTAGTGTCACATATTGTACCATCCAGTCTTGTTTTACCTGACATTGGGGTCTGAACTTAGTGTCACATATTGTACCATCCAGTCTTGTTTTACCTGACATTGGGGTCTGAACTTAGTGTCACATATTGTACCATCCAGTCTTGTTTTACCTGACATTGGGGTCTGAACTTAGTGTCACATATTGTACCATCCAGTCTTGTTTTACCTGACATTGGGGTCTGAACTTAGTGTCACATATTGTACCATCCAGTCTTGTTTTACCTGACATTGGGGTCTGAACTTAGTGTCACATATTGTACCATCCAGTCTTGTTTTACCTGACATTGGGGTCTGAACTTAGTGTCACATATTGTACCATCCAGTCTTGTTTTACCTGACATTGGGGTCTGAACTTAGTGTCACATATTGTACCATCCAGTCTTGTTTTACCTGACATTGGGGTCTGAACTTAGTGTCACATATTGTACCATCCAGTCTTGTTTACCTGACATTGGGGTCTGAACTTAGTGTACATATTGTACCATCCAGTCTTGTTTTACCTGACATTGGGGTCTGAACTTAGTGTCACATATTGTACCATCCAGTCTTGTTTTACCTGACATTGGGGTCTGAACTTAGTGTCACATATTGTACCATCCAGTCTTGTTTTACCTGACATTGGGGTCTGAACTTAGTGTCACATATTGTACCATCCAGTCTTGTTTTACCTGACATTGGGGTCTGAACTTAGTGTCACATATTGTACCATCCAGTCTTGTTTTACCTGACATTGGGGTCTGAACTTAGTGTCACATATTGTACCATCCAGTCTTGTTTTACCTGACATTGGGGTCTGAACTTAGTGTCACATATTGTACCATCCAGTCTTGTTTACCTGACATTGGGGTCTGAACTTAGTGTCACATATTGTACCATCCAGTCTTGTTTTACCTGACATTGGGGTCTGAACTTAGTGTCACATATTGTACCATCCAGTCTTGTTTTACCTGACATTGGGGTCTGAACTTAGTGTCACATATTGTACCATCCAGTCTTGTTTTACCTGACATTGGGGTCTGAACTTAGTGTCACATATTGTACCATCCAGTCTTGTTTTACCTGACATTGGGGTCTGAACTTAGTGTCACATATTGTACCATCCAGTCTTGTTTTACCTGACATTGGGGTCTGAACTTAGTGTCACATATTGTACCATCCAGTCTTGTTTTACCTGACATTGGGGTCTGAACTTAGTGTCACATATTGTACCATCCAGTCTTGTTTTACCTGACATTGGGGTCTGAACTTAGTGTCACATATTGTACCATCCAGTCTTGTTTTACCTGACATTGGGGTCTGAACTTAGTGTCACATATTGTACCATCCAGTCTTGTTTTACCTGACATTGGGGTCTGAACTTAGTGTCACATATTGTACCATCCAGTCTTGTTTTACCTGACATTGGGGTCTGAACTTAGTGTCACATATTGTACCATCCAGTCTTGTTTTACCTGACATTGGGGTCTGAACTTAGTGTCACATATTGTACCATCCAGTCTTGTTTTACCTGACATTGGGGTCTGAACTTAGTGTCACATATTGTACCATCCAGTCTTGTTTTACCTGACATTGGGGTCTGAACTTAGTGTCACATATTGTACCATCCAGTCTTGTTTTACCTGACATTGGGGTCTGAACTTAGTGTCACATATTGTACCATCCAGTCTTGTTTACCTGACATTGGGGTCTGAACTTAGTGTCACATATTGTACCATCCAGTCTTGTTTTACCTGACATTGGGGTCTGAACTTAGTGTCACATATTGTACCATCCAGTCTTGTTTTACCTGACATTGGGGTCTGAACTTAGTGTCACATATTGTACCATCCAGTCTTGTTTTACCTGACATTGGGGTCTGAACTTAGTGTCACATATTGTACCATCCAGTCTTGTTTTACCTGACATTGGGGTCTGAACTTAGTGTCACATATTGTACCATCCAGTCTTGTTTTACCTGACATTGGGGTCTGAACTTAGTGTCACATATTGTACCATCCAGTCCATTTTTACCTGACATTGGGGTCTGAACTTAGTGTCACATATTGTACCATCCAGTCTTGTTTTACCTGACATTGGGGTCTGAACTTAGTGTCACATATTGTACCATCCAGTCTTGTTTTACCTGACATTGGGGTCTGAACTTAGTGTCACATATTGTACCATCCAGTCTTGTTTACCTGACATTGGGGTCTGAACTTAGTGTCACATATTGTACCATCCAGTCTTGTTTTACCTGACATTGGGGTCTGAACTTAGTGTCACATATTGTACCATCCAGTCTTGTTTACCTGACATTGGGGTCTGAACTTAGTGTCACATATTGTACCATCCAGTCTTGTTTACCTGACATTGGGGTCTGAACTTAGTGTCACATATTGTACCATCCAGTCTTGTTTTACCTGACATTGGGGTCTGAACTTAGTGTCACATATTGTACCATCCAGTCTTGTTTTACCTGACATTGGGGTCTGAACTTAGTGTCACATATTGTACCATCCAGTCTTGTTTTACCTGACATTGGGGTCTGAACTTAGTGTCACATATTGTACCATCCAG